TGTGTGTATGTGTGTAAGGGATAGTAGAGAAAAACAAAACAAAGGAGTGGGTAACAATGCTTGGCAAGAAATGTACTCATTACCTTACTCATGTAACTGTAACTCCTCCCTACAGCATCTTTACAACAAAAAGAAATGGCAACTTGCGAAATCAAATTTTGCCAAACCAGTCATGGTACGTACAACAGATCTCTACTGTTGAAGTCTTTCTTTCCATACCTGTGTTCTATGATAATGCTAACAATGGATCCAGAATTAACTCGTGATTATGTGTTGAATGTGATTTAGCTATGTTTCCCAGAAGTTCACGCAGAGGGACCTTAGTCACCAGTGTAGTAGTGCTGAGGTGTCAGAACCTTTAAGAGCTGGGGACTGGGGGAAAATGGTGAGGTCCTCCGGGCTGTGCCCCTGGAAGAGAGCAAGGAATGTTTCTTAACAACCCCTCTAGTGACAACTGACCAGCCTCACTCCAGCTTCTTTTTGTGTGGTCTCTCACTGCTTGATGCTTCCTATCAAATTATGATACAGGAAAAAAGTCCTCAACACATGCAGCCTAATGAGTATACATTCTCCAGCTTTCAGAATATGAGAAATAATTTTATTTTCTGTTTGACTTGCCTACCTATCCTGTAACCTCAATGAAAACGGATAAGTCTTACCATCAATCGATTCCTTGAGTTATTGAAAGTTGACAACAGTTTCCTACTTCTGTTGTACTACTCTTGAATAAAAACCTTCCTTCTTGTTTTAACAAATGTCAAATAATTTCTCAGCAATTCATGAGTTTATAAAGTGTTTGATATATTTTTAAAACTTTAGCGTGTAATCAGATAATCATTATGGTTTTAAACCAGAAGTTATTTTGGAGCATGTATTATCTCACTCAAAAAAATGCATTTCTAAAGGCCTTCTTCAACATCTTCTCATTAGGTTGTTTGTTACTTCATGTACTCACCTCCTAAATGATGTGTAAAATTCTAATCCTGTCATCATATACACTGAATTCTTAGGTTATACTAGGTAATGAATAAAAAAACACACACACACATTTTAAGTTGTAAGACTTCAACACTCCCAGTTTCCTTTGAGTACAAAATCACAATCTGGTCATCGATTAATTGATCTTTTTAAATCAAGCTTTTAAAAAAAATCAAGCTGTCCCCAAATTTTCTTCAGGAAGACTTGCAATATGTTGTCACAAGTTTTAACTTTCTTTCTAGGTATTGTAAACCTTGCCTTTCACACATCTCAGACCAAGCATCCATTTAAACAATTATGGTTTGCTTTATTTTCTCTCTTTGCAGCTTTCTGAAAGAGCATTTTGGATGGTCTGTCCTCCCAATTGAGCCATCTTCTGTGTAGTAATCAAAGGTGTAATTTGTAGGAAGTCACACATGGTAGTTTTTTTTAAATGGAGTTGCTTTTTTAAAAAAATTGAAAAAATAATTGTTTATGTAAGTATGTCTACTATGTACTAGTAGTAGAGCTAGACACTTGGAAAGTTTTGCTTCTCACAATCACACTGATCTGAAATGGGTTATTACTTTCATTTTACAAAGAGTCAGATGTGTGAAGACTGATAATTATTAGTAACTATAATAATGAGCTGGGTTCAAAGTCTATCCTTCTATCACTATGTGACAAATGCTACTTCTTTGCTTTCTTGTAGTAAAATATATATGAATATAAATATATATGTATGTGTGTATGTATTTGTACATGTGTATATTAGACTTATAATCTTAAATAACTTGAAAAACAAAAAGAAAATCAAATTAGGAAAAGTAAGCCGAGTCAAAAAATGTAACCAACCTAAAAGTCACTAATATGGAACTGATTAAATAAATTATAGTGAATTTATACCATGGAATTTATACATGTGATTTTCACTAGTGTTAAATATTCAAAGCAAGAAACTATCTACTATATATTTTTAAATAATGTGTAGTAAGTATTAATGAGAAATAATTGTAAACAATTGTACAATTCTTGTGGTTGGATAGAGGCTTCCTTTCTTTTGTTATAAAAACTGCATGATTAAACTTAACTCTACCTGAATAAGTGCTATAGTTAAAAACAATAATTAAGCCATTTAGTTTGGCTTTCAAGACAAAATTTTTGTAAAAACATTATAGCAAAACAAAATGAAGCTTCAGTTGGGTAATTAATTGTTATTGATAATTTTGTGATTTAAGCAAATTATGGCCCTAACGTAACTTTTTTATTGTTTTTGTTTGTTGTTTGACATTGGTATGGGGGCTTGACTCAGGGTCTGAGTTCTGTTCCTGAGCTTTTTTTTGCTCATGGCTAGTGATCTACCACTTGAGTCAAAGCTCCCTTCTAGCTTTATTTTTTCTGGGCTAGAGGTAGTTTATTGAAGAGAAGAGTCTCACAGACTTTTCTGCTTGAGCTAGATTTTAATTTGCAATCCTCAGTCTCAGTCTCCTGAGTAGCTAGAATTACGTGTGAGCCACCAGTGCCCAGCTAAAGTAACCGTTTTACATTTTAGAACCATAATTGAATGCTCCATTGTGGCATTCACTGGCCACATATGGCTACTGAAAACATGAAATATGGCTAGTTCTAAATGAGATGCTAAGACTACCAACTAAATCAGTGTGTGTGTGTGTGTGTGTGTGTGTGTGTGTGTGTGTAAGGAAGGGGATTAAAATATCTCCATGAACAAGTGGGTTTTTTTTTTTTTAGAAAACATTGATTTCATATTGAAATGATATTTTGGGTATATTAGATTAAATAAAATACCTTATTGAAATCATCTTCACATGTTTCTTGTCATTTTTATGGCACTAGAAAAATATTACACTATATTTGTGTGAAAGGGATAAAATTGATGGGTTTGGTAGTTGGTATAATGATTATGAAAAATAGTATGCAGTTTCCTTAACAATTAAAAAGTAGAATAATTAGATATCTAAATGTACTCCTTCTGAATATATATATGAAGGATATAAAATCAGTATATATCAAAGATGTATGTGAATTTCTATACTTATTGCTGCATATTCACTATAGGCAAAATGTAAAAACAATATCTTCATCATTATTTTAAGACTTATTCTTAAACCTTTAAAAATAGAAGGAAATCCTCCCACTTGTGACCACATAGGTGAACTTGGATGACATGTTGAATAAGATAAACCAGATGCAGAAATCACAATACTGCACAATCTCATTTTTATCTGGATTCTGAAAGGTAGAACTCATTAAAAAAACAAAAACAAACAAAAAACAGAGACTGAAATGATAAGTTCCCAGAAACTGATGTTAGGGGAAATGAGGGGACATAGGTCAAATATTCAGGTTTCATTTCTAGGAAATAAATAAGTTCTGAAATCTAATGTACAGAGATGGTAATTATACTCAATAACTTTATTATATTCTTAAAAAATGGGGCTGGGAAGGTGGCTCAGTTATAGAGCCCTTGCCTTGCATGCCTGAGGCCCTGGGTTTGATTCCTCAGCACCACATAAGAAAAATTGTGGGAAGTGGCACTGTGGCTCAAGTGGTAGAGCGCTAGCCTTGAGCTGAAGAGCTGAGGGACAGTGCCCAGACCCAGAGTTCAGGCCTCACAATCAGACACCCCCCCCAAAAAAAAAAAAGAAAACCATATTCTTAAAAAATTTCAAGACTGAAGGTCTTATGCTAAGTATTCTCACTATGTACACAATAATAGCAATAACAAAACAATAATAATGGTAATAAGAATAAGAACAGGAGGAAACAGTGAGAGATAGATATAAGCATATTTCTTATAGTGGTCACAGTTTCACAGATATACATTTATTACTAAACTTACTGATGTATACACATACTTCATATATTGGCTTTCTAGAAGGTATCCCATAAGTCCCATAATATTTCTTACTCTTCTTTCTCCTATTCTTTTATTTTTCAGCCTAGATAATTTCAGTATTCTGTCTTTAAATTTGCTTTTCTTCTTGTTAATTCAGCTGTAGGTGTTATTAGTGTTTTTAAGTTTAGATACTGCATTCTTGAGCTCTATTATTTTTTTTCTGAATTAACAAATTCTACTTCCTTGCTGAACCTCTTATATTATGATATATTATTTCCAAATTATATTTGGTTACCTAATCTATATTCTCTTAAAACTGAGAGTGCTTATCGAGACAATTTTTAGAATTTCCCAACTGCATGTATGATACTATAGAAAGCTTTTTAATATGTATCATTATTGTTTTCTTAAATTCTCTTCTAAGTTTTTTTAAGAATTTATTTTTACAACAAGAAGCTGATGTTCCTTTTCAGGTGCTTTTGCTCTATGTACTAAAAACATTCTCAGATTTCATTCTGCCAGAGGAAATTTTTGAGTGAGGAAAGAAGTTACAGGACCACAATTTCTACTTGCAAATCTTTTTCCTAACTGGACATTCAATCCACTATTTTCTGATTTCTTCTGTACTTCCAAATCTTCCATTGTTCTGGATGTATCTTCCTACATCATCTGGTCGTTCAACAAATTTTAGTTTATCTTCCAGTTAGAAAGACACCGCAATCAAACGAGTGTGGAGAAACGTTATCACTTTTGAGCATTTCTCTTTCCTTGTTTTCTAAGGAGTAGGCATTAAATAAACGCTGGAATGCTCTGAATTTTAACAGCATTACACTCAAAGCACTTCCTGTCCATACAAGTACTTATCAAAAAAACAAGTACTTATCGAAATCGGTCTGGTCCAGCTTTCCTCACCCCTTTCCTCACATGAAAACGAAGAATATAAACAGTCCTGAAAGTTCTCTCAGGGCAACTGTCAACCCCCCTGCAGAGACGTTTGTCTCCTGCCCCAGAACAAAGGAGAAACGTTCTGTCTGCTGGTTCAGGCTGCAGGGCCCAGGCTCGCCACACCCAGTGGGTTTTTGCAGGGGTATTAGCTATCCAGACGCCTGGACACACAGGATCAACTTACCCAGGGTGAGCCAAATCTCTGCAAAGCACCTGGAAGAAGGAAAGAGGAGGCACAATCATGAAGCAAGCCTTACTTGAAGGGCGATCTGAGGCCAAGCCACCCTCATCTCCAAAAACTTTGAGTGCCCTAGTCATGCAAGCCCGGACTATGAAGTTGACTGCTCCAGCCCAGGAGGGCTGGCCTATGAAAAAGCTGAGTCTTGTACCCCAGGAAGACCGGCCTTCGCCCAGTGCCTTATCTTGGGATGAGCGGTCTATAAGAACCCAGAGTGTCATATCCACTGAAGAAAAGGCCTCAGACAAAGCCTTGAATCCCCTGTATCTCACAGTGATTCCAGCAGCCATGATGAAGTTTAGCAGGTTCCAGAAAAAGAAACAAGCTGAGACTGAACTCGCTGAGGGCCAGCCTGTAGGGACAGAAGAAAAAGCAAAGGTTATTGATGATACCTGTGGCTTGGCCTGTATAGTAATCCCCTGGTGTCAGCAGTTTAACAACGTTTACAGCTTCCTGGTTCTCTACTGCATCCTGGTGCTAGCTCAAGGTAAGTCTCAGGGTTGGGCTTGTTCTTGGGAAGGGAGTAGTGAAATGGACCTTAGGGTTTGCTTTAATGATGCACCGAAGAAGGAGGAAAAATGATGGGGGTTGGGGAGGAAGCGCCTTTCAGGAGCCCAGACTGAGGCGGTTCTTTTCAGACTTGTTCTTTTACTTTGTGTCTTACTTGTCTTACGTTCACAAGTGCCTCACTAACAAGGTGCACACTGCAGATAGTGAATGATGAGCTCCAGCCTCTAGAAAGCCAGCAAATTTTGGTGTTGTAAGGTTCTTTAATGTTGTTTGGTTACCAAAGTCTACATTTTGGTTTGAAGCCACAGGAGATTAAAATAAAATTGAAAACAAAGTGTTAGAGCACCAGGTTCTTTCTGGTTCTGCCCATTTGGGGACATTTAGAAATGCTACTTTCTATCTGGATTTTGTTTGCTTGCCTGTGAAATTGAGGGAACAGGGTGAGACTTAAAACTCAAAGGTGTTTGTTTTTGATCACCATATTTGTAGATTGTGGATTTGAAAGCCTTTAGAGGGAGTATAGCCCTAGCTATGTTCAACTAGATGTGGGTTGTTTATTAGTTTCTTTACATCATGACTGGAATTTGCATAACCTGATCTCCTTTCTTTCTAAAGTGCCATGTCAAAATATTGCTGGGTCATAGGGCAACTCTAGATTTAGTCTTTTGAGAAACCTCCATTGGACAAGTTTACAACAGTGTAGTAGTGTTCCCTTTTGGCCACATCCCCAACAGCATATGTTATTTGTTTTCTTCATGAGTATGCTAATTGGGGTGAGGTGAAATCTCAATGTTGTTTCAATCTGCATTTTGTTATGGCATAAGATGTTGAACATTTCTTCATGTATCTCTACTGGTCATACCAACTTCTGAGAAGTCTCTAGGATTTTAGCCCATTTATTAATAGGTTATTGTTTCTTTGAGAGTTTATTTTTGGTGGTATAATTTGTTGAGCTCTAAGGATACATGAAATATAACACACTTGTCTGATGCATAGTTAGTAAAAATCTTCTCCCATTCTGTGGGCCTTGTGTTTACCCAATAGAACACAAACAAGGCCACAGTAAAGCTATCAGCATAGCTAGATTCATTGTAGCATTACTTACCATAGCCAAGGTACAGAATTAACCCAGATGCCCCTCAGTAGATCAAAAATAGCGGTATATATACACAATGAAATTCCATGCTTTGTTAGAAAGAATGGCATTGCCCCATTCCTAAGGAAATGGAAAGACTTGAAAAAAATTGTAATAACTAAAGTAAGGAGGGGGCAACAATGCTTGATAAGAAATGTACTCATTATCTTGCCCATGTAATTGTAACCCCTCTGTACGATATTTTCACAATAAAAAATTAATTAATTTTAAAAAAGAAAAAAAAAGTACAGGAGAGTTTCATTTTGACATATCCATATATGCATATATAATGTACCTTGATCAGACTCACCTCACCCTTTCTAATACTTTCATTCTCCCTCCCCCATGCCTATCCAATATCAACCAGCTTTATCATTTCGTTTTCACCTACTTACATAGGTATTTTGACTATATTCCATTTGCCCTCCTACTAATACCAACACTCCAGATAGGACATGTTTTATATTCCTGTCACTCATTTTAAAAGTATTTATCAATTGTTCAAAGGGGTAACAGTACAGTGGAAAGTGAGGTATCTCACAAATTCATGTACTGCAATTAGAACAACTTCCTCATTTATTCTCTTTCCACATCCCTACTATTCTCAATTATTCAACAGCTTTCAGTCAGTTTCCTTTTACCATTTTTCACTCACAGATACAATATATTTCAGTTCACCCTTTAACATTCTGTAGGAGCCTCCTTTAATCTGAAATACTTATTTATGATTTCTCAACTTCTTAAGTCCTTGTAAATCTTAAAAAAAATTATGGTTCATTCACTCTGTAAGCTGAACTTCAACATGGATCTGAAATCTCCTCATCACTAAACTCATGCCATGCTTAGCTCTTCTCTCTTTCCATCTTTCTTCTCTTCGTTTCATTTGTTACAGTAATACAAAACTAATATATCTGGTATCTTTTAGAATTTATTATTCCTTTAAGTCATTTTGACTGGTCTAGATCCTTTGCCTTGTGTTTATGTTTTTTCAATCAATTTGTTCATTTATTTTGAACAAACCTACAATTTTGTGATTTTGTTAACTATGAATCCAGAGAGAATTGACTTTAAAATGCTGAATATTTGCATGACTGAATGGGAGATACATTCTCCAGTCCTTCTGCAATTTGGTAAATGAATGGATTTGTACAAACTAAAGTTTTATACATATACGATCATGTCATCTGTAAAGAGCATTTTACTTCTTTATTCTAGTCCTAAGGCTTTTTTACTTAATTGTAATGTATAGAATGTCCACTAAAATAGTGGAACTCTGAAAGGAAGTGACATATTGTGGATGAAGCATTCAGACTTCCTTTCATAGTTAAATATATCAACTATATGCATTTTTCCCAAAGATATCTGTTTTATTTTGAGCACATTCCCTTCACTTGTTAGCTTGCTAAGAATTTTTGTTACAATTAGATGTTTAATGTTATCAAGTGCTTTTCCTGCACTGTTGAGATCATCATAAAAGGTTTTAAAATTTATTCTTTTAAATTACAAATCAGATCTTTTAAATTTGGGCATTAATCAACATTGGATTCTTAGGAAACACCCTTATTACTTGATTAATGTTTTCTTAAAATATACATTGCTGGATTAAGTTTATGGAAGCTTTAATAATTTTTATTTCCATGAGAATATTGGTATATGATTGTCTTGTAATTATTTTGTCTATCTGTTATAACAGTTACCAGTGGCATTATTTAATTAATTAGGATCTGTATCCCTTGCTTTTTGTGAAAAAGTTTGTGAAGAATTATAAACTCTTTTATGAATCAATTTGTCTATTGTCTTTCAGTATTAAAATCAGTGTATTACCTCTGAATTCCAAATTAATCTTTTTTACTTGGTCTGTGAAAATGGGTTGAATCCTTTAAAAAAAAAGTTCTTTAAAAACAACAACAACTGGGGCTGGGAAGTGGCTCAGTGGTTGAGTGTTTGCCTTGCATGCATGAGGCCCTGGGTTCGATTCCTCAGCACCACATAAACAGAAAACGCCGGAAGTGATGCTGTGGCTCAAGTGGTAGAACGCTAGCCTTGAGCTGAAGAGCTGAGGGACAGCACCCAGGTCCAGAATTCAGGCCCCACGACTGACAAAACAACAACAACACAGAAAAACCTCTTGTGTACATGTCTTGGAGTTCATTAGTATTACTGTCCCCTATGATATCTCTCCTATTGTCACTGCATTTGACTTTGGTACCTTGGTATTGTATATATGGTTATTTGAATTAGTGAAGAGAAGGGGAACAACAGAATGGTGAGACAAAGACAAGGGGGAAACTGCTGCAAGAGTGGCGTACACAAGACAATATGTTGGAAATGATCTGTATAACTTGGGAGGGGTTTGGGGGAAGGAAAGTAGGAGAGAAATAAGGGAAGGAGTAACAAGTTTGACAAGAAATGTACTTATTACTTTACTTAGGTGACTGTAACCCCTCTAGACATCACCTTGACAATTAAAAAAAAAATCTTTGTTGTCTGCCTTGCTATACAAACTGGGAGTCACTTTCAGGCAATGAATTTAAAGCATGCAACACCTGTGGGTCTGTCCTGTGTTAGGATTATTCTATCACTGAGGTCGTCTTCATTCTTCATGCTCCATTACTCTCCCAGAGTTTAGGTTTATAGAGTGCTTCACTCTGCTTTTGCTTGAAGACACTGAATTGGCTCCTCTTAAGTTAAAGGGATGATGAGTTCTCTCATCACCCATCTCCCTGTCCTTCATTGCTGCCTAACTTATAACTGGAATCAGATATGGCCTTCACAGATTAATAACAAAATCTGCCCTAGGGGAAAATATCTTAGATAGAAGCTTTTCTTCCACTTCAGTAATTTTTCTAGGGATTAAGTAGTTAAGAATATGTAAAGCTACTTCTTCCAAAATGAATGAAAAGCTTCCTATTTGCACTTCCCATTATTAATATAAGAACATAAGTTTTGATGGGCTTCTGTGGTTTTCCAAAAACAAAGCTGCTGTGATACGTCTGGAATCATACGTAGAGAAAGTAAATATTATCTCAGTTGAAACTCGGAACAACACAACAAACCAGCATATTGCCTGGGTACCATTATGACCATTCCCTCCTAGGTTAGCCAGTATGTGAGTAGAGTAGCTGCGTATATGATATATCTCTCTGAATAGACAGAGTTATCCTGTGTGAATGTTCAGCAAAATAAATTGATTGTGGAAGAAGTTGTCAATAATGAAACAGACAGAAAAAGAATCTGGCACCTAGTTATTCTATTCCTGCTCACTAGGCTGTTACTATGATATTTTCATCAACAATGCAAGACATACAAGAGCTGATTTTAAGGTCTTATTTGCATCATTGCTGATGTAGGCATTGTACCATTGGGGGCCTGCCTTGCTATACTAGAACAGTAAAAGCCAACCCTATTTTAGTGGTACCCAGTCAGCTACCTAGTGGCAGACTGATTACAAAGTTCTATATCTTTTAGGGTATGAGTATTATGTTCTCATCAAAATATGTATTATTTTGCTCTGAGTTCTTGACTCCAGGGCTCTTCAAGCAGTACCATAATTGGATTAAATGAATATCTTATACATCATTGCTTCTAATGAAGAACTCACTTTGTTGCACAAGAGTACAGTTCATGCTTATGGTATTCACTGACTTATCTCAACAACAAGACTTTTTTTTGTCTTATACAAACCATAATACTCTATGAAAGAGTCAAAGTCAACAAATTCAGGATATTGTTTTCTAAGATAACAAATATGTTATCTGTTGTCAACTGGTAGAAGAGGTGAAAGTAGTGGGAAAAGGAAGTTATACATACAGCTGTGTTTTTATAACCATTTGAAACAACATTCAGACCCTGAGTTCAAGGGCCAGGATCAGCACACACACACACACACACACACACACACACACACACACACACACACGAGTTCATGTAGCAAGTATTTCATAGAAGTTAAGCTCAGAAAATGATTGTGAAATCCATACTTGTTTATAGGTTTTTAAATGTTCAGAATAATGTACAAAAGCACTGAAGTAAGTATAAATTAGGATTTGTTTTGATATGATAATGGTGATCTATTTTGTCTCTTAAAAGGGATATTATTCCTTTTGTTTCTTCTATTTCCATTTTAGGTACTGTGTTTGGCCTTGTAGACCTGAGCAATGCCAATTTTCACAAGGAATATGAAGTGAGAACATGGCAGAAACTGACCTTGACACTAACTTATGATGTTACCTCATGCCTGGCAGCATTATTTATAGCTTACTATGGAGGGAAGGGAAACAGAGCAAGGTGGATTGCATGTTCCTCCTTCCTAATAGGCTTTGGATCATTTCTATTTGCTGTCCCATATTTCAGTGCTAAAATTCATCGGTCAATGTTAGAAATAGAAGGTAAGATTTTCATGTGAGCCAGGTACCAGTGGCTCACGCCTGTAATCTTAGCTACTCAGGAGTGAGATTCCCGCCCCTCCTCTGCCCCCCCCCCCCAAAAAAACTGAATACTCCATTTTGGAAGTAGCGCTGTAGCTCAAGTGGTAGAGCGCTCACCTTGAGCTGAAGAGCTGAGGGACAGTGCCCAGGCCCAGAGTTCAAGCCCTATGACTGACCAAAAAACAAAACAAAACAAACTAAAAAATCAGGAGGCTGAGATCTGAGGATCATGGTTCAAAGCCAGTCTGGGCAGGAAAGTTTATGAGACTCATTTCCAGTTAACCACCAGAAAATCGGAAGTGGCAATATAGCTCAAGTGGTAGAGTGCTTGCCTTAAGCTGAAGAGCTCAGGGCTGGCGCCCAGGATCACAGTTCAAGCCCCACAACAAACAAGAAAGAAAGAAAAAAAGAAAGGAAGAAAGAAAAAAGAAAGAAAGGAAGGAACGAAGGAAGGAAGAAAGAAAGAAAAAAGAAGGAAGGAGAGAGAGGGAGGAAGGGAGGAAGGAAAGGAAGGGAGAAAAGCAGAAAGAGAAAGCGAGAGAGAGAGATCCCTAGCAAGGAGAAGAAATAACATTCTATGATAATTTGTATTAATTCTCATCAATTTTCATATAATATAAACCTTTTGGGAATTATAGTTCCTTCTGTCCTTTATAGAATGCTGTGATTAGATGAACACACTATACAGTTCCTTTAACTAAGCCTATTTAGAATCAGTATCTCTCAGTATCTCTGTGCTTGATATTAGAGGTGCAGAAATAACAAAATAATAAACTATCCATGCAGAAATTATCATTTTGCCCCTCTACTTAGATATGTTACTTATTATATTTGAAATATTCTTCTTCCTTCCTTTTTTCCCTTTCTTTCCTCTTTAAAGAAACTCCTTAATGACATATTTCCAGAATCTCCTAAAATAGTGCCAATAGCTGAGAAGCAACTTTTTTATAGGTGGAGGACTTTATACACTTCATATCACAACATTGTTTGTTAGAAGAAAGTTAGTTTAAAAAGAATTTAATAAAATAGGCACAAATTTAAAACAACGATTGCAAAAAACAAATATAGAAATACATTCAGAAGGTAAGCTTTGATTATTCAGATAGTGCAGGAAATTAGAAATACATTTATTTTAGAGTAAAAATTAGAAGAATATGATGTAAAATAGAGGAAAATGAGTATATGTTATGTGTGTGTATAAAGAAATATGTGTGATATATTGCTGCATACATACTACATATATGTAAACAGACATACATGTACATTTATTTTTGGTTTATAGCATTACTATCTCTTCCAGAGTTGCCATAAATATTTTTATTAGGGCATTTTTCTGAGAATATGATGATTGATTATATGACTACATTCAATGCAAATTAAATATTAGCTAAAAACAATAGCAGAATGGTAGCTATAGCTTATAGACAGAAAATACTTGATAATGACTATATATTCATTGTGTGCTTAACTGTTTAATTCAATTAAAATTTTAATTGAATTGTTATCTTTTCAAAAGATATTTGCCAGGAAAACAAGAATATCAATTTTTGCCCAAGATCTGGAACAGTATTCCAAATCAAGTATCTAGTTTGCTTTATCCTTGGACAGATGGTTCAAGGAATTGCAGGAATGGCTCTTTATATCCTTGGGATGACCCTTCTTGACGACAACGTCTCTACCTACTCATCTGGCATCTATTTAGGCAAGTTTTTCTTCTTTTTAATGATTAAGTCATTTTGAATTTTCACTGAGATTTCATAGGTTTTATGGAAAATACCAGGAGCTGGGTGCTGGTGGCTCTGCTTAGCTACTCAGGAGGCTGAGATCTGAGAATCACAATTTAAAGCCAGCTTGGAAAGGAAAGTCCATGAAACTCTTATCTCCAATTAACCACCAGAACACCACAAGTACTGCTGTGCTCAAAGTGGTAGAGTGCTAGCCTTGATCAAAATTGCTCAGGGACAGCGCCCAGGCCCTGAGTTCAGGCCTCATGATTGACCAAAAAAAAAGATACCAGGAATTGAATTCAAGGCATATTACCTCTTGAGTTATTTTCCAGTTCTATTTGGTTTGTTTGTTTTGTTTTTTCAGATAGGATCTCCAATTTTTGCCTCCCAGTAGCAGGAACCAAAATTGTACACCACCATGTCTATCTTTTTTTAAAATCAAGATTCAACTATTTTATTTGAATATCTGGGACTTTGCAATTTGCTTTTGTATTTAATTTTACATTTTTATTGGTATTACAAGGTGATGTGCAGAGGGATTACTGTCAGGTAATGAGTCAGGTAATGAGTACATTTCTTTTTGGACAATGCCACCTTTTCCTTCGCTTTTCCCATTTCCCCCTCTTATCAGTGCCTATAAGTTTCACAGTTGATTTTCCATAAAGTTTCCTCTACTATCCTGACTACATTTGTTCACCCTTCTTCCATCCATTTCTGAGCCTCTGTGCTCCCACGAAAGACATGAAACACAACAACAACAACAACAGAACCCACAAAAGCAAAAACAAATGACACCTCCACTACTACCATGACCAATAACAACAACAACAAACCATGTTTCCATTTCATTAAATTTGTTTTGATAAACAGTATTTTGAGATTGCAGCAGCATTACTCCTTTGGGTTCATCCCTGAATGGTATTCCTATCTTCTTTGCAGGATTGACTTTCTCTAACTTTTGCTTGGGCTGGCCTTGAACCACCTATTTTTGCCTCTTATTTAGCTGAGAAAACAGGCATATCATGATGTCCAGTGAACTTTTGAATTTTGATGGTAACCTTTTAACTGATAGAATAATGCTAAGTATTGGTTCTGTGATGACATTGTTATAAATGCTAGTTTTTATGATTAGCATAAATAAATTAAAAGATCACTCCAAATCACCTAGTTCTGAGAAGTGACTTGGGATTTGGAATTCAAGTCTTCTTCATGCATTGAAAATACATACAACAATAGAAAAACACATACTTTTTATGTTGTAGAAAATATCAATCTATCAATCAATCAATTGATTGATCTATCTTAATGTCAAGTTATATAGGTTAAAATCAATTTCTCCCATGGAGAAGGAATCTAAAATTATTGGGTTGAATAATCAGAAATGTAATATTTTAAAACCTGGAGATACAGGTTGAAAGCCCTTGTGTTTATTGTTATATGCCTCATCAGTAGATTCAGGGTGATGATAGAGCATTTATCATTGCACTAATCTGCTTAGATCCATTAACTTGATTTTGGGATTACTCAGTATATTGAAGCTTACTGAAAACATAATGCAGTTCACTTTATCAAGGAGACAAATGATCTGTGTTTAACTGAAACTGAACATGGCATGAGTTTCCTTATCTACAGTATTTTATGCAAGAGCATCATATAATAAGTAAGCATGGCTACATTTCAGAATAATATATTTTTTCTGCAATGTATTCTGCAACTGATAGGTCATTTATAGTACAATATATTTGTAGAGGTTCTATAATAATTATATTTAGTAAAATGAAAAATTGTTTTTATATATTTATTGTTACAGTACTTTGTATTGGAATAATACACTTTTCCATCAAAGATAAGAAAAATCATGTCAGTAGGCCAAAATAGAGAATATTGATTTTTATATTCATTTTTACAAAAAAATACTCATGATAATTTGGTAGTTGTTGGTCAAGAACAGTAACAAATTTCTGTTTGACTTTCAATTCTATTGCAAGCCAATTAATCACATTTCCTTGTAATATGGGAAAGGACACTGAATTTCCACCTCCTGCCACTGTGGCAGATAAAGTAAAAAAGATATGGAAGTGATGATGCAAAAGTATCATGTTACTATGGGGCCTTAGTAATAGGAATATAGTGTATTGAACTTATATTCATATTAAATATAGACCCGTTCTATTAAAATATGCCAGGTTTCAATGGCTCATGCCTGTAATCCTAGCTACCTAAGGGGCTGAGATCTGAGGATTGTGATTCAAAGCCATCCTGGGCAGGAAAATCTGTGAGATTCTGATCTCCAGTCAACTAGCAGAAAGCCAGAAATGGAGTTGTGGCTCATGTGGTAGGACATTAGCCTTGAGTTCAAAAGATCAGGAACAGTGTTCAGGTCTTGAGTTCAAGCCCCAGGACTGGTACACAGACACAGATACAGACACACACCCACATCATATATGTATAATTATATAGAAGAAATTAAGTTTCTCTGTTACTGGATTGTGTGATGGTTAATTTTATATGCATCTTGTCTAGGTTATGACACTTAGACAATTTTTAGCAGAAGTTCCTACAATTAGATGATTTTAAATTGTTGCAAACAGTTACAGTCAGTAGACTTTGAGTAAAGCAATATAACTCTCATAATATAGGGTGAGTTGCAGCCTGTGAATTTACAGCCCTAACAACAAAGACTGAAGTCTTTGTAACAAGAAGTAGTTCTGCTTGAACACTGAAATTTTAGCCTGCTGGGACATACTTTACAAGCATGAAATTTTTTGTGCTCCATACTTTTGTAAAACAATTCCAATATCTTAAAACATAACTTTCTCTCTTCTTTCTCTCTCTTCACCTCAATCCCTTACCCACATTGTCCCTACAATATAGACACATAGTGTCCCCTATTAGAATGTTTCCCTGAAGAATTTAAACTAATTTGAAATATATAGGAAAAGCTTTCAGAAATAATCCATTTATATCAATTAATTTTTATCATGTTTACCCATGTCTTTATGTTTAATGTTTATTTGATAGGTATTGGTGATGCTTCAGAAATATTAGGATACGGTTTGGGTTTTACAGTAGGAGCACCACATCTTAAAACTAATAATAACACTTTAATGCAAAGGTAAGACATTTTCTTTCCTTTTATTTTTGTTTATGTATGAAACATTTATTGAAGTGACAGTATAGCTTGCAAATATGTTTGTATAATTTTAATGCAGCTATTCTTAAGAAAAATATACCAAATGTTGCTGTTTTGCCTATGCATGCCTTAAAGTATAAAATAAATTTGAAGTGTGTATTTGTATTTTTGCTACTTATATAATCAAAACCACTAGATATCATGCCAGTCTTACTATTAATTCTTTCTGTATTCTTTTTGGTGATTAGAAACTATACCTCTCAAAACTAAAATCATACAACTTCCCCATTCCAAGTCTATTTCATCTGTGGGAATCATCATTCTACTTTCTGCTTTAAAAGAGTCAATTTACTGTTTGGAGCAACTAGAAGTCAACACCATGGGGAATAGCATAGGGCACAATTCAAGAGTCATTGCAATAGTCATTGAAAGAAGTTGAGATATCCAGTAACTACTGAAAATCATGAGTTATGGGATACTCTTGAGGTTAATACAAATTCCTGGGCAATTCTAACTTGCCCTTTGAACTCTGGACAAAGCCTAGAATTCTTGCCAATCAAAGCTATCCACTTGTTATGTACAGAATGTGGAATGCTGAGTGTAACTGATGAAAATGAGACATTTGCAACATCTTCTACCATAATGTTTTAAGTTTGTGTTAGAATTGCATGATATAATCCCATGATTGATAGTAACTACAGTAAATATTGTTTTATATAATTATTTAATTTTATTTGTTGCTGGTCCTGAAGCTTGAACTAAGGATCTGGGCACTGTGGCTGAGCTCCTTTTTCTCAAGGCTAATGCTCTACCACTTGAGCCACAGCACCACTTTAGGCTTTTTCTGAGTAGTTTATTAGAGATAAGAGTCTTAAAGACTTTTCTGCTCAGACTGGCTTTGAACCATGATCCTCAGATTCCAGCCTCTTGAGTAGCTAGGATTATAGGCATGAGCCAATAGTATCCAGCTTAGAATTACTATTATTTTATTTTACTGAGAAGGAGGAAAAAGGCAAAAGAATACAAATTTCTATTATTTTCCTGGTTGTTGCAATTTGAATAACTATACATAGACTTTACTGCCTTCACAAGTACTAAGAAATCAGATGATAGATCATTTATACCTGGTTTTAGTATAACAGTAAAAAAAAAATTAAGAAATTGGAAATGAGTTACTCACATTATCATTCTCCCATCCCCAATAAATCCATCATGGAGAGAGACTAATTTACTTTGGAGAGGGAGAAGTCACAAGTCCAGGCTGTAGACATGAAACACAATACTGGAAAGAGCTTTGTGACTTCCAGTGCAGGCCCAATATCTAAGACTGAGCTTCTTCAACTGTTTCAGCCAGATATCCAAGTAGTTAACTCCAGTTCCTCTTCCTCTGATCACATAGAGAAGGATGGAGGCAAGTTATCACCCTCAGAAGGATTGAGAGAAAGCTAGCATAGGACTCTTGTCTTGGAGTTCAATGCTGGGTTTAGCTCCATGAAGAAACCACAGGACTTTATACCCAAAGCAAGGGTCACAAATGGAGTTTTTGGAATGGCCTAAATATAAGGCATGATGTATGTAATGAATCTGTATTTCATCCTATATTAGTAATTTTCCAGTAAGCTGGGGCCAACCTCCTCTTTTAATTGACTGTTGTATGTTGATTTTATATGTTTCTACTTTTCATAAATATTTGTGAACTTGGAGAGTTTCTGCCTAGAATATTTCTGGCTTTCAAGAAATTATCTTTATGTGGTTGTACAAGGGAGCAATTGTATAGCAAAGCAATATATGAATACATCTTGATCTAGGTTACCCTCCTTTCAACTGACTCTTTCCTTCATTTCTTAATTTTGTGGTATATACAATAAATTCATGACTATATTCTTTCCCCTTCTCCTCCACTGTCTACCATTCTCCCCTTGCCCTCTCACTACCTATTTCTGGGAGCTTACTTTGTTGGGCTTTCACTTAGTCTTTCTAATAAATTATAGTATTTGAGCTATCCGTTGTGTCTATTATACTTAAGTCAATTCATTTGGTACTGCTTGCATACCACCCAGGCTATTTACTTATAGACTTATAGGCACATTCTATCTGCCACTAATGAAAAAACAAACATGTATGCTTTGTTTCTCTGAGTCTATATTATTTCACTTAATATAATTCTTTCCAAATATTTCCATTTCCTTATGAATGGTATAATAACATTACTCATAATGGATGAGTAACATTCCATTATGTACAGATACCACATTTTCTCAATCCATTTTGATTGAGGAGCATCTAGGCTGATTCCACATTTTAACTATGGTGAATAGTGTTGCAGTGAACATGGTTGTGCTAGTGGTTTTACTGAAGCCTTGTTTGTGTTCTATTGAATTGATACCCAGAGTGGATCATATTGTCTGCAAATAGGGATAATTTGATTTCTTGGTTTCCTATTTGTATTTTTATTTCTTTCATTTCTTTTATTTCTTTGACTAAAGAATTCAAGCATGGCATTAAATAAGTATGAAATAGGGGATGGGAAGGTGGCTCAGTGGTAGAGCTCTTGCCTTGCATGCCTGAGGCCCTGGGTTCGATTCCTCAGCACCACATAAGCAAGAAGAAAAAAGCTGGAAGTGGCGCTGTGGCTCAAGTGGCAGAGCTCTAGCCTTGAGTTGAAGAGCTGAGGGACAATGCCCATGCCCAGAGTTCAGGCCCCATGACCAGACCCCCCCCAAAAAATAAGTATGAAATAAAAAGACACACCTCATTTCTACTTTTTAGTTTCCACCCATCAGTATAATAGCTGTTAGTTGACTATATATAGTCTCTATTTTGTAAAGGTATAGTCTTCCTATTTCTAGTTTCTTTGGGGGGGGATTTTTATCATGAAATGATGGTGGAATTGTTTTCAAAGCCTTTTTATACATGCATTGAAATAATTGTATGATTGTTTTCATATTTGATTGTTTATGTGCTCTGTTATACTTAGTAATGATTTTTACTACCACATATTAAACTTGACCGTATGTACAGGTTGTATTCTTATTTCTTTAGTCTATCCTCTGGTATACCTTTCTATTTCCATGACAGTACTACATTGTTTAATTGCTGGTTTATTTTATTTATTTATTTGATTATTTATTTTGTTGGTCATGGGGCTTGATCTCAGGACCTAGGTGCTGTCCCTGAGCTTTTTTGCTCAAGGTTAGTGATCTATCACTTTGAGCCACAGCACCAATTCCAATTTTCCAAAATAAGAATCTCACAGACTTTCCTGCTGGAGCTAGTTTTAAAACACAATCTTCAGATCTCACCCTCCAGAGTAGCTAGGATAACAAGTGTGAGCCAATAGCACCTGGCCAAAATTGCTGAAGTGTTATTGCATGTTTTACTATTTGATCATACACACACACACACACACACACACACACACACACACACACACACACATATCCACTCATTATTCTCATTATTGTTCCTTATTCAATATCAGGGCTTTTGTTTTTCAAAATTTCTCTGCCAGGTAATTCACTATTATCAAGTATTTTCATTTCAATTGAAATTTTCAATGTATCAATTTGGGAATAATTGTCATCTTTCCATGCCCAAAAGTAACATGTTGTACTACTATCTGCAAATTTAATGCCCTTCAATGAATTTTATTGTATTCTTTATTGAATGTATCCAATTAAGCTTATGCCTAGCTGTGTTAATGTTGTGCATATAATCATAGTGATATTTCATTTTCTGATCAAATGATTCTAGTAGGAAGAAATTATTTTAATTCCTAAGTATGTTTGATAAATATAAGCCACTTTATCAGATTTTACCTTGTTCTATATAGGATTTTTTTGATGATGCCCCTCACTTTTCTAGGTTACAATTCTATGTAAACATGTAATAATCACATTAAGTATGTGTATACTTAGAATACATATCTACATTTAAAGTGAAAAATAAAACTTTTATATAAGTAACAAAGAGTTAGTTGTGGTGTTGCACACCTGTAAGACCTTTGGAGGCTGAAGCAAGAGAGTGTCGAAGCAGATGGATGACCAGCCAAGGCAACTTTCAAAGACCCTATCCAAAGGAGGTGGGATGCTGGGATTGGTGGCTCATGCCTTTAATCTTAGCTACTCAGGAGGCTGAGATCTGAGGATTGCAATTCTAAGCCAGCTCGAGCAAGAAAGTCAGCGAGACTCATATCAAAGTAAGCACCCAAAAAATCTGGAACTGGAGCTGTGATTCAAAGTGGTAGAGCTAGTGCACAACATGCCTTACCCATAAAACCTCAGGGATAGCACTCAGCTGGGACAGCACCCAGCCCCCTGAGTTCAACCCCATGACAGAAAGAAAGAAAGAAAGAAAGAAAGAAAGAAAGAAAGAAAGAAAGAAAGAAAAGGGAAAGAAAAACAGAGGTGGCAATTGAGGTCATTTTCAGCACTCTTTCCTATTATGTTTGAGGCAATGAGTTTAATGCTCACTACAGTAAGAAGAACAATGTAAAGAAGGGAAGATGTAGCTACAGTAAGAAGAACAATGTAAAGAAGGGAAGATGTAGCTTGAGTGGTAATTTGGAATAAGAAATGGACATTGCAACCCTACATCATGCTTGACTGATATTTTTATTATTCAATAAGGCCAGAAATAGATATAAAATCATCCAAACAGTGAAAAGTCTGGGGATATATTCCCAGACCTATGAACCAGGATTCACTGGATCTTGGTTGATAACAGGGTCACCTGTGAGAAACCTAACCCTTCCAGTTGAGGTTCCTGGGGATATGGTCATTGTACTTCCATGATTGGTTAGAGACACTCTTCAGTGGTGTGTGGGGTGAACATATTGGGGGTATAAGTTTCTCCAAATCTCTTCTCTTATATAAAATGAATCCATAAAAAAATGCTCTACAAATATTCTTTATTGGCCTTAACCACAGATAAAGCATTCTGAAATTTCAAACACTATGAGAAAGAGAAAATGAACAAATCCTAGCAGAAAATCTTTCCTGTCCTACCCTACCCATTGCAAGATTCTGAGAGAAGCAAAAGGACATTAAAAAAAAAACCACAGGGAGGAACAGAAAACAAGCAAGAGATATTTGTGATTCAAAGGGTCATGTGACATGAAAGATCAGTTATGCAAACCCCAAATCATACTTGCCATAATGCATGATTTAAAGAGACAGGAATAGTTTTAGTTTATTTTTATTTTTATTAAATTTTAAATTTATTGTCAAGGTTCTATACAGAGAGGTTAAAGTTAAATAAGTAAGGTAGTGATTACATTTCTTGTCTAACTTGTTATTCCCACCCTCATTTGCTCCCTCTTTCTCTCCCCTCATTTGCTCCAAGTTGTACAGATTGTCATGCGAGTATTGCTGTTGCATAGGCCCCACTTGGTCCTTTTTCTCACCATTTTATTATTCCCCTTCCCTTCCTTAGTTCAGAGTAACGTATAGACAATTTCCAGGGTATAAAAATCGAATACAGTGACAACAGGGGGTAAACCATATTGGGAATGAACACATACAGAGAGAGAGGAGGGGAAGGAGAGAGAGATCGAGATCACATAGTACATGGAGAACAACAACAAAGAAAAACCTTTTATTTCCATGGCTTGGAGTTCATTTTCCTTAGCATCCTCTTATATGGTCATATGTACATAGCTATTCAGCTATTCTACTCATCTGCTAAGATTATCCTAGATGTATACTAATTATTACAAATAAGGGAAACCATGGGACCTATGTTTCTTTGGGCCTGGCTTACTTCACTTAATATGATTTTTTTCCAAGTCTTTCCATTTCCTTAAAATGGGGTAGTGTCATTCTTTCTGATAGAAGCATAAAATTCCATTGTATATAGTCCACATTTTCTTAATCTATTCATCTACTGAGGGACATCTGGATTGGCTCCATATTTTAACTATAGTGAATAATGCTGTGATAAACATAGTTGTGCTGGTAACTTTAGTATGGCCCTGTTTGTGATCATTTAGGTAAATGTCCAGATGTGGGATTGCTGGGTCATAGGGGAGCTTTTTGTGTAGTCTTTTGAGGAACCTCCATACTGCTTTCCAGAGTGGTTGAACAAGTTGACAGGAATGATTTTAAAGGAGAGGCAAAACTTAAAAGAGTCTTTCAAAGGCAAAGCTATTGATATAAAAAAATAAGTAAGAACAAATAAAACCTGTTTTACTGTCTTATTGGCATCAAGGAAAAGAAAGAAGAAGGCTGCACTGGTGGCTCATGCCTATAATCCTAGATTCTCCTAGAGAATCTAGGAATGAGATCTGAGAATTGCAGTTCAAAGCCAGCCCAAGCAGGACAATCTGACTCTAATCTCCAATAAACCACTTGTGAACTGGAAGTAGAACTCTGGCTCAAGTGATAGAGTGCTAGCACTGAGCAAAAATGCTGAGGTTCAGAGCCCAGTTCCTGAGTTCAAACCCCAGTAGAGATGAAAGGAAGAAAAGAAGGAAGGAAGGAAGGAAGGAGGGAGGGAGGGAAGGAAGGAAGGAGGGAGGGAAGGAATGAAGGAAGGAGATTGAAAAAGAGATAGAGACAGATATTTAGGCCAAAGTGATACATATATAATTAAAATCTAACAATAGCTTCTTGTCATCTAAACTAACAAAAATACTGGAAAATTACCAACAAACAGAAAATGTTCACTCTTTTCCTTTCTCTGATTCTCTGATTATGACTTTATTTTAATAAAAGGCTGTACATTCAGGTTTTTCATATTTTTCCATTGAAGCTCTACCTACTATGAGAGTGATCAACCTATAAAATGGTACTCAACTTGGTGGATGGATTTTCTTTTAGTCTCTGCAGTTGCATGGTCCACATTTATACCACTTTCATGCTTTCCAACTGTTATGTTAGGTGAGTATAAAAATATAACTCATTACTGTTTTTCCTCCCTAAAACTCGGTATCAGAGCATGCCTGAACTACATTTTAACTTTTTTGCGGGGTGTGTGTGTGTGTGTGTGTGTGTGTGTGTAAATGCCCCTTATATTGGTGGAGGGCTATCATACAGTGTCAAGTCCCCTGTTTTTGAACAAATGAAATGACTGCTGACAAATATTTAATTGATATAGCAAAATTTCATATGTATATATTTTCATTTATTTTCTTTCAATAATATCTTATATCTAGAGTTCACAATTGTCTTTTAAAATTCAAGTATACTGAAATCTACTTGCCAAGCATTGTTTAATATATGTACTACTACCTCACATGATTTTTCTAAGACAGTATTGAAATAATTATTGTGGAAACATTACAAAGCACATAGAGAAATCAAGTTGGTTTTGTTTTTTTTTTACATTAAGTACGGGCTTGTTTTAGTATAACAAGATCAATAGGGAGACATTGAAAATGGGGAGAAACAAAACATTTCCTTTTCTCTATGAAAGAAATGCAAGTTAAAGGCTCAAAATGAAAGTATCTCTAGCTTTTATACTTCCCTTTTTAATTTTCAAGTTGATGTACAGAGGGGTTGCAGCTACATAAGCAAAGTAATAAGTACATTTCTTGTCAAACTTTTTACACCTTAGCTTATTTTCTCCCACTTCCCCCACCAATACCCTCTCCCCAGAGTTGTACAGATTATTTCCAGCGCATTGTCTTGTGAATATCGCTGTTGCATTGGTTCCCCCCTGTCCCTTGTCTGAGCTGGGAGAATCGAAGTGGTCTTGTTGGTAAGCAACTCCCAGGCCTAAGACAATGAATAAGATGGGTGAGGCTTACAACAGGTAGCATTCACAGCTCCTTTGGCCATACATACTTGTCATGGTTTCTGTCTTTATAGATCTTCAAGGAGCCTTGTGACTTCTTAGCATCTCAAAGGAGAGGATAAATTCATATAGACCTTTTACATCACCTATTCTTGTAACTTAATATCTAAAAGAAGGTAGTAAGAGAAACACTTTACTATCCTTTGCCTCAGTCTAGCCCTATTAATAATAATTAATTTTAGTTGACCTTATCTATCTTTCATGCCTAAATGCCTTTTGTCCTTTTTAATTTAAAAAGTGTATGGAGGGCCAATATGGTATTTTCAATAGCAGACTTGGGTTGAGAATGGACTGTTGGCCCTGTTTAGAAAAGGGAACTGAAAGTCATTTTCCTATCATATTTAGGAAGCAGCACAGAAAACTTGGGAAGCAGGTAATTCAATTGTTAGGCTACCATGATTAGGACCAGAAGACAAGTTACTTTTTATTAAAAGAGATGCCAAAGAGAAATTAGTTTAAAAAATCCCTTAAAAGTAAAAATGTATTTCCTGTGTGTGAAAAAGGCTAATAATATGCAAAGAATTATAAAATATAAAACAATGTTATACTCAAACTCCATTAATTTAACATGTTGAATCCCTCCTTATCCACAGAAACAAATGAAATTGGCAACCTAGTAATGACCCAGTTATAGTTCTACTATATAAACAGTGTACTACTTCAATACTAAATACCTTCTGATACAGGAGGTTGATTTTAAATCCTTTAAATCCTTATAGGAATAACACTTTTCAGTTCTTAATGAGTTTAGAGGGTTTTGTACAATTATTTTAAAATAATATAAATAAAAGAGTAACTTTTAAAAAGGCCTTTCTTTCCTTAGTAGCCAAGAGATAACTGCCCAGTGTAATAATATGGCCTAGATAATTAAATGGCACAATAGAATAATAATTGGTTGTGCCATGATAATATATGCTTAAGGGTTAGGAATAAGATACACAATTAAATTGCCCATGTGAAATATTCAGGTGTGATCATCCATTATTCAGAACCTAGTAGATTTAAATTACTTTTGAAAGAGGTGCCGCAGTGACTCAATCTTGCTATTGGTTTTGATACAGGGTCTCACTACATAGTTTGGACTGCCCTGGAACTCACTGTACCTCCTAAGTACTGAGATTAGAGCCACTATGCCCAGTATGAATCCATTTGGACTCTTGTAACTTTCTCTTTTGTCTCAACAGATTTTTTTTCTGAATAGATCTTGACCATTCTGGGCATCCATTTTCAGCTCAACCTTTGTCTGCCCTGCAGATAATGTTCTGGCATCTCTGCTCACTATGGTTAGAAATTTTACATTCAAGGTACCATCCATGAACTTGATTGAAATTTCCTCAGAGGAAGATGCAAACTGCTGGTGGCAAAAACCTATAAGCCAGTTTTTCATTTGCAAATGTTACTAAGAACAATATTTTAAAAACAGTTTTGGTATTGTGGTTTTAGAGCATTAGGTTTTAGTTTTGTTTTAGCACATTGCATTTTAATCCAATAAGATTCTGGTATTTTTCCTAATTACTGGATATGTCATAAGATTCTTTTGCTTGTTAATGTATAGGTTCAGAAAAGATAAAGGCTGAGAAAAAGAAAGAAAACACCTTGATTTACACCAAAGATAAGGAATCTGAAGCTAACATTAAGGATTTATTTGTTTCTGTTTGGGTAAAGTAAAATATTCTCCATGAACAATTCAGTTTTTGATAATGGGTTTAAGAAAATAAGCATGTATATTCAATTTTATATGTACTTTTGGGGGAATCATGAGCCCCCCTAGGTCATTAAGGTTGTACCTCAAAGAGAATTGTGGGACTCTCTTCCTGTTTGTTTTTTTTAATTCTCATGTGTCTTGGCTGTGCAGCATGAGGATTCCCAAGGCACACAGGATCAACCAATCACATACAAAGTCTTTAAAACTGTGACCCCACATAAACTTTTTCTCAATACTACCTCAGATATTTGTTATAGTCATAGAAAGATGACTAACACAGGTACGCCAAGGTGAGGTAGCTAGATCATGTGGTAAATTTGTTTTTAGGTTTTTGAGAAACATCAAGTCTGATTTTTATAAAACTAGACTAATCCATATTTCCACCAAAAGTGTATGAGCTCCTTTTCGCCCACATCCTTAACAATTTTTTTCTTTTTAACAGTAGCCATTCTAACTGCTGTAATTCTACTTGGATTTTTATTTCCATTGTGACAGTTTTATTGATTTTTTTACTCATATTTCTAACTGTTTGCATTTCTCCTTTTGAGAACTCTCTATTAGCTTATGTTCTAGTCTTAAATTGGGTATTTTGTTATTAAAAATTTTCATTTGTTTATTCTGGATATTAATCCTTTGACAATTAATTCAGTTGGCAGTTATTGTCTCCTGTTCTCTAGGTATTCTCTTCATTTGGTCATTGTTTTCTCTGCTGCAGTGCTTTAGTTTTATATAACCCCATATGTCTATTTTTATTTCCTGTTCTTTTGGAATCATCTTAAAAATATTACCTGTACTCATCTTTTGTAGAGTAATTCTAACAAGGGGTCAAGTTTCAGTCTTCTGAAAATGAACACCCAGTTCCCCAAAGCCTATCCTTTCTCCAATCTATATTTTTGGCACATTTGTCATCAATCTGCACACTGTAGATACATGTCTTTATTTCTAAACTATCTACCTGCCCATTAGTTTTCATATCAGCAACATGATCCTTTGGTAAATATGACTCTGTGCTGCCTGCCTGCCTGCCTGCCTGTCTTCCTTCCTTCCTTCCTTCCTTCCTTCCTTCCTTCCTTCCTTCCTTCCTTCCTT